GCACCAGATTTAACTAAAGGGTAATTTACATCTATAGCCAACAGTAAAGTAGAAATAAGAGAGGAAAAAAATAAAAATAATATAAAATAAAACATTTTGCAATTAAAAAATACATAAAACATCCCACCTCACTCTCCAAACATAAAATCATGCCCACCTTCCAACCCACACAACCAGAAGCAACTCTAAAATTGATTACCCAGTGCAATTCAATAATTGCAACATTGAGTAGATTTAAGATATTTTTTTAAGATTATTTTTAAAACTAATAAAAGAACTACAGGTTTTTACATGATCGAGAGCAGCATTCCACTGAGCAATGGCTTTAACCGAAAAAGCTGCTTGTCCAAAGGCTGAGCGTCGATCAGGAACTTCACAGTTCTGCCTGGATGTTCTGGTTAAGTGCAAAGAAACAGCTGAACGACTAGAAACTAATTTTTGCAAACAGATTGGGGCTAAACCGCTTATAATTGTATATACTGTTTCCCTATTTGAGAAAACTCTAAAATTCTCAAAAGAAAACAAGTTATATTTCTGCACAATCTGACAATGATGATGTCTTAAAGGCTTGTTTTATTTATTTATATATTTATTATTTATTTATTAGCTCCACTTTGTTAATCAACTTTATAAGAGTAACAAAATCATAATGACTTCCTGCCACGTTTCTCAGGTTTTTTTGTATTTTTTTTGTCAGAATGCATCAGATCGTACCGTAAAAACTATGGCGAGAGCTTTGAGCACGCTATTCCCGAAAACGCGTCCCTGCTGGAGTTTTCTCCTCGGGGTGCCCCACCTGAGGCCATGGCGATCGTCCTGTGGAACCGGACCAACCCTGAAACGAGCGACGCGGGTCGGGGGCGGCTGCTGCGAGGGGGGAAGGCCTGGGTGGCGGAGAGAGTGACTCAAGCCGATCAGGGCAACTACACGGTGAAGGACGAAGACGGGAACGTGCTGTCTCGTTGCACCCTCTCTGTTCGTGGTGAGAGGCTGACAGATTGTTTATCTTTTTTTTGTTTTATATCTAACTACGGGATGATGCTCATATTTCATTATTCTCTTTGTATCTGTCACTCTCTCAAACCTTCATATTTTCCTCCCTCGTTCACCTCTCCTTTGACTCTAATGCAGGGCACTCCTTCAATATCACACGCTTCACTAAGGAGTCTTTAGCGCTTCCCTTATTTCTCCCTCTCCATCACGCTCATCTCATTTTTACCCCTAGCCGAATCCCAGACGAATCTTCCCTGGGCCCCTTCGACCCCAGACCCCCCCATGGCCGTGTACAGCTTCTTCACGAGGGCCGGATCATGGACTACGACCTGCGCTACAGAGGGATCATCTCGCTGAGCAGGAACGGCTCCGTCCACGAGGTCGTCATCATAAGGCTCTCGTCGAGACACGACGGGCTGTACGAGGTCCGAGACGGGGACGGAAATCTGGTTTCCTCCACCTACCTGCACATGATCGGTGAGCCGCGGCACGGGTCCCAGATTTAGCTGAACCTCAAGCGGGAGGGTCCCTTCTGCTAATCTTTGTCCCGTTTTTCTCTTCAAACCTTTGTAGAAAAAAAAGGGGGCACTTGGCGAGCGCTCTTCAAATCCATTTCTGTCCCGTCTGGTATGTTTGTGTCTCTGGCTTGTTTCATCTTGTTCATGAAGCGCTACCCAAACTGCAGCCTGTCGCAGATCTTCGCCGGCCTCAGGACAAACCGCACGCAACCAACCAACCCCCCCAGGGTTAACATCCAGGTGAGGGGAGCCACAGCTATGGCTGTGTCCAAACTCAGGGGCTGCATCCTTCGAAGGACCTGACCTATCCCGTCAACGTGGGCTGGGTCCTCCGTCATCCGTGAAATCCGGAAGAAAGAGGCTGTGAATTTGGGTCATCTAGCCTTGAACTTTATTCCCGCCCTTACCCCAGCGTATGTCCCAATGCCTAGCAATGGTGACAACGCTGAACAGAAACAATGAAGTTCGAAAATAGATCAAAATTAACAAAATATATTTTTAATTGACAAAATCAGTTTGGAGGCAATACATGAAACTAAGGGACCCGCCATACGAGTGTGTTTACAATGATTTCCGACAAGAATAATGGTAAAACAAAAGACAAAAACTTAAAAACACAACTACTTGATCAATTTCTTTACCGCCAGAATTTTATTTCAAACTGTACTCCTGTCTCTCGCTTTGTCTGCCATTTTAACCTGCAATGCATCTTGGGATAGGGCGGGCCGAGAAGGATATACTTGACCTGTCTCTCAAATCGAGGGAAAAGGAGGACACATTTGTGGATCGCAATTGGAGGAGCTTTCGACGTTGGACAGCCTTCGTCGCATCGCTGTGACGTAATCGGCCTTCGAAGGATGCAGCCCCTGAATTTGGACACAGCCTAGGCCACAGTAACTGACCTAGAGATGTGACACTAATCGATTTTTGCCAAATATCATTTAGACAGTGTCAGGAGAAATCACCTTACAGGGATATTCTGGTCATTTTTGAAGTGCCGTGCTGCCTTATAGTAATTAATAATTAGAACATTATCAGCACAGACTATGGAGAAAAAGGGCAGAGGTCTTCATTCAGGCTAGGCTAAAGGTTAGCCTAACAGGAAGTAATAACAGCGCTGCTGGTAACAGTTAGCATAAACCATGACCCGTGAGGAGGTGAGTTATCTTTCTTTGTGTTTTTGCAGAATTACACTCAGACCCATCCTCACCCTCCAGCCTACTACAGCCACCCCGAGCAGCCTGCGACGCCAAGGAAATGGACCCCTAGAACCAGTCCAGCTCACTCTGTAAAGCTCACTAATTCATTTAAAGGAGTTTAAACTGTGTAATGGAGTTCAAGTTAAAATAAATGTTTTCTTAGTATTTCCAGGGCTACTCTCCTGTTTTGATGGGGACTCCGAGATCTGAGAACCAAGAGCTACAAAGGCTCACAGCTGATAGTTCCTCAAATCATAATTTGGCCCCCCAGGTAAAACAATATTAACGGTTCAGTTGTATGTTATGCAATGAAATGGGATTCATAAGCATTTTTTTTTGTTTGTTTTTTGTTCTTTCCACCTAGCAGGACAAATCTAATGAGGAAGAGGAAAATATTTCCTTTTCTGTCCCTGGAGCTTCAGACTGCCTCCACTCCTCGGCGGATTGCATCCAGTTCCAGATCAAGAAAGACGGAGATGAGGACAGGTGGAGCCAATCAAAAGACTTTTTTTCCACGCTGCCGCTAGACACGGACACGTCTGAATCCTGCAGCATCTACACCTCACAGAAACTTGACTTTTTATAAAATAAAAACTGGAATAATGTAAAAAAAAAAGTATGACAGAGTTACAGAAGAGGTTTTTAAAATGACTATATGAAAATGGACAACCTTGTGTGCTCGGCTTGCACAGTTATAATTGTTTGGTTTGTTTTGATTTCTGAACCATGATTTAACCTTCATGTCTCTTGTTGCACTGGATAATGGTGCTCATGAATTCTCCTGCTGTTACCTACCTCCAGACCCTCAGGACCAACGTGATCTGCACTGTATTTGCTGGGCGTCTCCATATTTTACTGGTGTTTTGTGATCTCTAGGGCTACGTAAACATCAGGGTAGTGGTACGGAAGTTGGCAAAAAAAGAATCATTAAATACTTCATGTCATTATTGCATAAAGTGAACGGCTTACCCATYAAGTGAATCATTTCTGACTGCTGAAAAAAATGCATATAAGCGTCTGTTCTGCAATTTATGTATTTTTGCAAATGTAGTGTATTTATTCCTTAGACAATTGTAAAAGAAAAAATAATATGTATCAACAAGTACTGCAATAGCCTGCTAAACTTTCAGCTGTGTATACCTTATAATATCACTAAATTTATCTATTAACAGATACATCTCTAAAAAAAATAAATTGTATATTTAACACCGACGTCCTAAAATATATATATTTTTTATTCTGGGTGGGAAATAATACCAGGCTTCGCCAGTGTAGTGGTGCAGTTGCGCTTCTACCGGCAGAGGGCAGTGCAGGAAAAAAGACAATGTTTATTTAAAACAGCGAAGAAGAAAAAAGGAAGCAGTTCCTTTTGTAGCGGCAATGAAAGAACAGCGTGCTACTTCCAATTTGAGCAAAATATAAGTGTACAAAAGTAGGAATAAATTATAAAGTGCCGAGTGAGCATAATCCACTTTTAGGGGGAGACTGTTAGGACCACGCCTAGAAGATGTCTTTGGTTTGCGCGAGTAAGTAAAGCTGAATTTATTGCAAAGACGGAGCCTGTAACGTTAGCTTGGCGTGCTAATGCTACAAGCTAACACTGCTAACGTTAGCGGCTACGCAAACTGCCTCCTGCCTCCTAGAGTTTCACTCTAGGTTTGATGTCAAAAATATTTATCATAATTATATCTGAGTTTCAAGCGGTATCTGCGTTGTTTTTCATTTCTTCTTTCTCCAGTCTGCAACGAGGTACCGGAGCACCCGTGCATCTCTCCGGTGTCCAATCATGTGTTCGAGCGCAGGCTGATCGAGAAGTACATCGCGGAGAACGGGACGGATCCGATGAACGGACAGCCGCTGTCTGAGGAGCAGCTGGTGGACATCAAAGGTAAACTAGACCCGCTGGATGAAATGTTTTGTCTGATTGAGGTCTGTGCTGAAAGTAACACTTAAGTAWTGTCTAAATGACATTATCAGAAACACACATAAATTGCATTTATTTATTTTATATAGTTATATTTACATACATAGTTTATTTAGGTTTTCTGTTTTTAATCAGCTATTGTACTTTTCCTATTGAAATAAATACACATAAACAAATTCCTTAAGTGAAGTATATTCATTATCATTGCACCTAAATAGGTTTTATCTTTACATGTAGAGTACTAAGTGCTAAACAAAAATAATAAATGAGCACAGAGAAACATTGTTCCACAACAGTGTATCAGCACTATAATTGTCCAAGTTTTTTTAACTTTATGGGAGAGAAGCTGATTTATTTTAGAAATGTAAATTTACAGATTGAGTAATTGACCAACCAGCTAACTGGTTCATGATTGTGAGTGACTTTGTCTGATCCTTAAGAATTTCAATATAAAAAATGATTGTACAAATAAGTCAGAGCTTCTAACTGCACGAGGACAGTTTGAGCACCAGTTGAACCCAAATCTCACATGGCTGAATTTGTTTTTAGTTTAGAATAACTATAATTTGTATAACACTTTTGCATAATAGATTTCGAAATGATCTGAGAGTTGCTATGCTGTAAAAAGGAAAATTAAAAAATGTGCATGACTGAACTCAGCCGTGTTTTGAAATTGACCAACTTTTTTCTGTTTTAGTGACACATCCTATCAGACCAAAGGCTCCGTCCGCAACAAGTATTCCTGCCATTCTCAAGTCTCTTCAAGATGAGTGGGTGAGTAAACGGACAAGAGGGTGGCAAATCTGCAACACAAATTAAACTTTACTGAAATACCACCTCAAAGTGCTTCACGACACAGTGTGTGCCCTCATAAAGCCCCTACACACATTAATACAGCACTCTACTGTGTCTTTACAAAGATAATCTGAATCAAAACGCAACTACATGTTGTATGTTTCAAGTTCCTGCTGCTAATATTCAGTCAGTTGTGACTTTGAGCAGAACAAAACTATTTCTTTGAATTGTTTTGCATGCAGCAACCAAGATAGAAAAAAAAACATTTGTTTGACAAAAAGATTCAAATGTGTTGCACTGAAATTGCTTCTTAAAGCAATTTCAGAACTTTTAAGCTCAGCCAGAACGCCCACATGGAGTTCCGTTAAGAAATCAATTTTATTCACTAAAAAAAAGTCTAAATGTGTTCATTTTTCTTTTTCCCCTGTTGTTTACTAGGATGCTGTCATGCTACATAGCTTCACCTTGCGGCAGCAGCTGCAGACGACTCGYCAAGAACTCTCGCACGCCCTTTATCAACACGATGCCGCCTGCAGAGTCATCGCTCGACTCAACAAGGAGGTCACTGCTGCCAGAGAAGGTTAGGGTGTCCTCTACTGAAAGTTCAATCAGATGTGTTCTCCACACCCACATTAGCTCATTCATAATGTTACGTGTGTTTGTTGTGTTTTACAGCTCTTGCCACACTTAAACCTCAAGCTGGACTGGTGACCCCTCAAGCAGTCCCAGCCTCTCAGCCATCAGCTGCAGTGAGTCAACGACTTGTATTTGATTAAAACGCCACAAACGCTGTTTGACAACTCTTAACAGTTTAATGTTTTGTGTGTCAGGGTGCTGGCGGAGAGCCTATGGAGATCAGTGAACAGGTTGGAATGACTCCAGAGATCATTCAGAAGGTACGATTTGTTTCTTTCACCTACATATTTATATTATTCTGTCATAGCCTATCTAAAGTGTTTAATCATGTTTTTTTTTTTCAATTACAGCTCCAAGACAAGGCTACTATCCTCACCACAGAGAGAAAAAAGGTATTTTTAAAATATAATTTACTGTTTTAACTCCATGTTTTGTAAGCACTGAGTAAGATCTCTAGTGTGGTGATATACAGTATAATTTATACTCAAGCTTCTTTCTTTAGAGAGGAAAAACTGTTCCAGAGGAGCTGGTCAGAGCTGAGGATCTCAGCAAATATCGCCAAGTGGCCTCGCACGCTGTAAGTATTGGTTCTGYAGAATCTGTAGAGTGAAACTGTTCAGATGATGTTTTTGATGCAAATGGTTTCACCGTTCTTGTGTTTTCTTCAGGGTCTTCACAGTGCCAGTGTTCCTGGCATTCTGGCTCTGGATGTGTGTCCCTCAGACACCAACAAAGTCCTCACTGGTATGGTGAAAACATTTTTCTGTTCCTCTATATTTTGTTACTGCGTTGTGTTCTGTAGAAGAATCAGACACAATGAAATGTATTACTGGATTGGACATTGCCTGCAGCTGCTGTAGCTAGTGACGCGCCACCATAGGARCCATCACTGAGTCATGTCAACAAAATGGTACAGTTTCATTGTGGGATGTGCATCAATCTGTCACATAAATATTCGTAGCACTGTTATTTCTCATCCAATTTCTATAAAATATGGCTTAAATTAAAGCTGAGAAAATTGCAGATGTTGTGGTATGTAAAAATATGTATTTGCTCGAGATAAATCTATAAGCAGTGTGGGAAGTTTTTATTATAGGTTTTTGCTAATGCATTTACTGTAGAAGCCCCTTTCCACTAACTCATGTATGCCATTGTATTGAGATTCAATTATAATTTAATTTAGACTTTCAGTTGAAATCTGAAACAAATGCTCTTAAAAGGAAACACACACACACACACACACACAC